TTTCTTCCACACCCCCAAAAAATAACAACGACTCTTAGCCTCAAAAATAATAAAATTCTCTTTTTAGAACAACTTCTCATAGCAAACAACTCAAACCTTCTTCTCTAGAATAATATCTACCTCCGTACAAATAAAACACCTAAAGGTCACATACCTTCATAGTATAAAGATATCTCTAATACTCTTATTAACTAATACCAATTCAACTCTTCTATAAACCCCTTCATAAATACACTTGATCTAATTACACTCCTTACTACTTCTCTCAAACCAAACTGGTCTATCTACTCAACAAACCAAACATATTCTATTGGAAAAATCCTAGCTCACTACTCAACCTACATAACCTTCCAAAAATACAACATTATCTCTCAATTAAATGTAATTACAATCATTTCACCCTCACAATTAATTCTAAATTTAACACTAAATCTTATCTTAAATATTAAATGTAAAAGCCAAAAGAAAAATCAAACTTCAAATTATCTATTAGGTCTGCTAGGTAGTTCAAAATTGCAATAGAAGTACTTAGTAGTATATCGATTACTAGCTCCTTTTTCTAGAGAACACCAAAATCCTGTTCATCAGTAACTATGAATTTTCATATTGAGAAGAGTAAAACTAGAAGGAAACTGAGTAGATTCTGTTTTATTATTAATTGTGATTCTGCTTGTTTTTAAACTAATATATGATTGCATAATACCAGTTTGAGAATCTTGATCTATGCTAAGTTTATGTTAAATATGAGCTTTTTTTTTATTATCAACAGGCAAAATAAGATGACTATAATACAAATTTAGTTTAGACTTGCTAACTTTTTTTTTTTCCTTTGACAGTCACATTATTAATTTTATTATGTTGTTAACTATAGCTGTAACCAAGTTACATATAATTTACAAAATCTACTTAATTTTCTAAGTCTGATATCATCTAGCTACTTCTAGAGTACTCAGATGCTATCTGTTGTACTAGCCAAATAGCTAGAACAATTTGTCTAACTAATTCAAAAAAAACTTCACTATCCTACATCACCTTCCTTAATTTCTTTTTTAACTGTATCTTCTACTAAAGCTATTATCCAACTTTTTTTCCTTCTCTTTTCTTTTTTTTTCTCTATGAGTATCTTTTTCTTTTTTTCATCTGCTCAGATTCTCACTTTAGGATTTGTCTCTTTGCTTTTGTTCTTTTTGAGCTTTGTTGTAATTCCTTTCTCTTTTTCCCAAAGAATTACCTTTCAACAATACCAGTTTTATATAACTTCTGCAAAGCTCTTTTGAGTTATAAAGAAAATACTATCTAACCAGATTCTTATAACACTTTTTTCTTGTACAAATACTCCTATATCTTCTGCTATTTTCTTTTCTTCAAGTCCAATAACTAGCTCTTTCATTCTTTGATATTAACTCTTTTTATTTTTCAAAAAAATAATCTCTCTGATCTTTGGTAGCAGGTTTAGGTAGTAGTTTTCTTCAGGTTTAAGTTTGCCAATACTTTTTACTACTGCTTTTTTGATTTGTCCTTATGAGTCTTGTAGAGCTGAATATCTAAAAAGATTATTAAATTCTTTGGAAATTCTTTTTTTGTATAGAATATAGTAGTCACTTTTATAGAGATCTAGTTTCTATTTCTTCAATTCACTAAGTGTTGAAAGGCTACTTATCAAACATTTGATCTGTATAATAAGGTACTTGCTATCTTTTATCAACAGGCAGTTTATCTCTCTTTGTTTCTTAATACTCTGTTATAGCCTTTTCTAATTATACTTTGACGTCTCTGCAAGCTCATTTTTCTTTTAGTATGCCCACTTTGCATCATTATATCTTTTTGCTAGCTTGGTTATAAAGTGTTTAACTAAGCTTTTGATTCTATTTGATTTTTATACTATATCATAGTTAAAGTTTTTACTTTTAACTAAATCAAGATTTAGAATTATATGTGACATTCTGTTTTCTTTTGCTAGTTGGTTTGCTTCATTATTCCATTTGTTATCTGCATAGCTTTTAACTTTTTTGAGCTTTAATTTGATACCTTTCTGTTTAACAAGTAATGCAATTTTTTCTAAGATTATTCTATTATCTATTCTAATCTACTTGTTATATTGTTTAGTATTGCAAGCTTTGGATATATTCTTTATTGCTTGCTTACTATTAGTGAGAACTCTAACTATCATATTATATTGTACTATTAGTAAAACTAGCCAGATTCCTACTAATTCTGCTTTAGTTGATAATAGCCAGTTAACAACTCTTAAATTTCCTATACTACTTATACTACTTTCTATTTGATCTATTCCTACCTATCCTACTCTCATATTTTCTCTATCTATTCCTTTATCTAAAGAGCTATCTGTGTAGAATTCTAATACCTTTTTACTTCTTGATTTTATTATTTTTGCTTCTTCTTTTAACAATATTGCTAAGTTTGTATCAAAATTCTTTACTTCTATTATTTCAAGTTTATATTCTTCTATGACTCTTAAACCTGTAAGAAGCTACTTATTTATCTCAATTTCTTGATAATCTCTGCTTGTGACTACTAATTTTAGTACAAAGTCTATTGTTTTCATTTCTCTATTTATATAATTTTTCAGAATTACTTCTAAAACTTTCTTCTTTAGCTACTAGCCTCTGCACTCTTTGTAAGCTTTCTCTTTGTTATCTAAGCAACCTTTACATTTCTCTATTTCTTCTTACATTTCTATATTTTCTTTGTTTTCCTAATACTCTATTAGAAAACTTCCTTTTTTTTTCTTTTACACTCTTCCTATCTTTCTGCTTTTGCTTTGCATATTCTCATAGACAATCTATTCATATTTTCTTTTGTCCAGAGAAACTTTTTAAAGCAAATTTTGTACTTCTAGAGTATTCTTCATATCTGTTTTGAACTCATCTTTAACTTCTCTACTTTCTTTGCTAATTAGCATTTTCTCTTCTATTTCTTTATACTAATTCATTTTTTTGCCTTTTTTGAATCTCTTTTTAGAAGTTTTTAGCTATTGCTATGTTATTAAGTATGAGCTTTCTATATTTAAAATCTGCTCTAATATTCATATATCGAAGTCACTAAGTACTTTTGCTATTTTGATAAATATTTCTGTTTTTATTAGACTTTTAATCAGTATCCTACTTGATTAAACTACTCAATTTACTCGATTAGTTACTATTTCTAGTCTTATATTTAGATTGTTTTGAATAATTAATCTGCTAAATTATTCTTGAGTAGTTTCTTCTTATTATCTTTTAGCTTTTCAGCCTAAATACTGTTTAAATAGCGAGTAATTTGTTGTTCTTGCCTTATTCTGATCTCTGTAATATTCTTAACCTTGCAGTTCTTATTTAGTTTATTCATAAGACTTAATGTTTGCTTAGTTTTTAGTTTATTTCATAATATGTGTATATTAAGAATTCTACTATAAGACATTATAAAGTTTGAAAGTGTTCTTGTTAAACCTAGTTTGTTTTTAGCTATCATCATGTATGGTTGCTAAATCTTTTTACATTTATCTTTAGTCAAAAAGATATTCTGTAGTATATATTCTAGCTTTGGTATTAGGTATACATTGTTTATATACAGTACTTAGCTTATCAAAACTATCTTTTTTCTGATCATATTAGCAAAAAGTTTTGCTATTTGCTTAGTTTTAAATACAATTTGTTTTTTGCTAACTTTTTGTTCTATCTAAATTCCTAGAAATCTAACTGCTTCTTTTTCCTTAGTTATATAGATCTCTTGTCTGTCTACTATAATTTTGCGTTTATCTTTCTGTACTCTAGAGTTTATTGCAATAAGCTTAGATTTGAATAGATTTATCTGAATATCATAAATCTTAAAGAACTCTTCTGCAATTTGAATAATTTCTTCAAGTTGTTCTTTAGAACTTGCTATCCATATAGTATCATCTGCAAAGATAACTATAGCTTGTCTTATTCTTTAAGTCTTCATCTCATTTCTTTTGAGATTTCCCTCTAGAAAACTTTTATTTCATATTTGAACTGAAAATTTCTCTTGATTTTAGTTAACAGAAGATCATAAAATATTCTCCAAATTAAGAGTAAAATTACTTCTTCTTGTTTTATTCTGTCTCCTGCTACTATCAATTCTGTAAAACCTAGTGCAGTAATTATTCTAGTTTGTCATTTGTCAAACAAATCTAGTATAAAATCTTGCTCTATTACTAGTACCTTTATTTTTTGTAATACTAGTTTTAAAGAGTCTAGACTTACAAAGTCATGCTTTTTTTATATCTTGTAGTATAATCCAGAGCTCTTTGTCTTTTTCTTTCGCTTCTTCTATTATCATGCTCAAGATATAAATTAGGCTTTCTGTTGAGCTTCCTATTAGTTCTGCAAAGTTTGTCCCTTCTAGTATATTGTTCTCTTTTATTATTCTTTCTAACCTAGTTGTATAAACTTTAGTTACACACTTTCTAAATATTTCTAAAAGTGCTATTGGCCTTATATTGCTTAGGTTATACTGCCAGTTTGCATCTTTAGGTATTGGGTAAGTCTGTTTAATTTTCTACTTAAGCAAAATTCTTCCTGCTTTTAGGCATTCACTAGCAAAATTTTTAAATACTACTTGTGTTTCTGCATTTGCTTGTTTGATTAGAATATATCCAATTCCTGATAAACCTGATGCTATACTTGTTTTAAGCTTTTGTAGCATTGAGTTTTATTCTTTTTCAGTTACTCTACTACTCAAATCTTTGTAGTAGCTTTCATTAATTCTCGTTATTAGTTTATATACTTCTTTCTGACTATGTGAGAATTCTTCTTGTTTGAAGTCTCTTTTTTTGAACTGCTTTTTAAAATACTTAGCTATTTTCCAAAAGACTTCTTTGAGTTTATTATAGAGCTCTTTAACTCCTTTTTTATCTGAAAGTAGTCTATCGATTACTACTTTCTTAAAAAGTTTTTCTAGCAGACTATTTATCATTCTTCTTTAGTTATCTTTTATCATTTCACATCTGTAGTCTATATGTTTTCTTATTTTTAATTTGCTTGCTAAGCTGTTTTCTGCTACTAGTCTGCTTTTAAGTACTAACCATCATCTAGTAAGCTCTTCTTGTAGCTACTCACTCTAAAGAGTTCCTGGTATTACTATACTTAGCTCTGTTTTTTTATTTATCTTTCTCACTTCTTACTCAATTTTTGATTATCTTTTTTCAGTTCTACTAGTTCTCATTTTTTCTTTTGTATTCTTTGACTAGTTTTTTTATTGAGTTTATTGCAGTTCACAATTCTGAGTAAATTTTTTTTAAAGTTTTGTTAGAACTTGAGTTTAGTACTTTCTTGTGAAAAATTTTATCTTCTGCTACTTGTTTAATGCTATTGCTTATAATGTCCTATTCTTTGTTCAAGTCTATAATATCTATAGATTCTTTGCTACTTTTTTCAGATTGTTCTCTTAACTATAGCTTCTTATTTAGCTTCTTTTTGAGCAAGTTCTGTAGCTTGTTTTGGTACTCATTTCAATTTTCCTCTATTGTTTTGTCATACAGAAAAATTGTTCTTTTTATACCTTTTCTTTTGATCTGTACCAACTTATTTTTAAACTCTAGATAGTTTAATAGTATTTTTGCTACTACTAGATTGTAGTCACTACCTGTTTCTAGCTTTATTTCTTTAATTAGCGCATCTTTAAAGCCAAAAATTAGACTATCTGAGATCTAGATTTGGTCTATTCTTGTACTATCCTTGCCTTTGCTCTATAAAAATTCTCTTTTG